TGGTGGAGGAAGAGTACGTGGTATGTTGGTGAAAGTTGGAGAGAAAGAGAAAATGGTGGTAGTTGGGGAAAGTTGGTTGGGGTACTTTCCACCTCAGTGTAACCCCTGGCTTGGCGATGGAACGGGACGCTAATAGTTTGAGTTCCGATCGTCCCTCCCCTTCCTTTCATTCGTTCGTCAGAAGCCATATCTCAGACATGCATGACTGAGTTTCATTAGGACTTGGCACACGGTTGAGACATCCCATATTCCATAACCGTATTATTTACTTTTCTGATCTAAGCCAATACCAACCTGTATGGTGATTTCACTGGTTAAATATCTTTTTACCGATATCTACTGTATCTATCCAACACTGGCGGCAGGATACTCACTGTCCGGTTGGTGGCTGTCATGAACGGCGACCTGCTGCGGGTTTGTTTTGGTTCGGTTATATTACAATGTCTCACCCATAATTGGCCCACTCCCAGTATTACTAAAAGACGTTGACGCTGTACACCTCGCTAAGGGAAATGAATAACAAACTGCAGAGAATGAAAGAATTACTTTGTCGGTACCAAAAAGGTGGAACTCTGCTTCCATGGGAGGGAATTGGACCCCGGTATAACGTGAGCTAAAGCTTCTTTCGGCTTCATATTACAAGAAAGTTTCTTTTACATAATGTTGCTTTTCATCTTTGTTTATTGCGTCCACTTTTCTTTTAATTCTTATCCACTGAGGATTTTTATTTTCTGAGAGATACTACAGCAAGTATACCCAGAAGTATGTAGATTAATGAGTTTTGTTGTAGGCTCAGACCTTACTTCTGAAATGAGCTGTTAAAGTATATGTTATGATCACACTCGTCTTTGACCAGTGACAGCAGGCAGTGTGTGTTTGTGTTCGACAGTCCAGTGAAACAAACGTTAACTGCCAGCTGGATCCCTTCTCCTGTACTAAGGCTGTCAAAAGCAGTTCCCTCTCTCTGCTCAGCACTTCACGAGGGATAACTAAAGCTATCATCATCTCAACTAAATGTAACGAACACTAATAATAATCATTACAGTAACAAACATTATCAAAATTAGTATAAAATAACAAATTAATACAACAACAAAAAACATCATTGTCATCATCACCATCGCCACTACCATACCATCAATACACGATCAACATCACCATCACCACCACCATCATCACCAACCCTACTAGCATCACCATCACTACTATTACCACTACCACCACTACTACTAGCATCCATTCCCCACGTCTTTCCTGGTAGTGGTGTGCTCGTGTGCCTTGACGCAGTGATCATGAATAAATAAGTTAACGTATACATTTAGTCTTAACTGCCTGGACATCGAGAATCAACTCCTGCCACCCACCCACCCACCCACCCACACACCTCTTGAATAGGTTTGTTTATTTATTAATCATTGAAGTAAAGCATAATTCGCATTCCTGTTTATTATGTAAGGCTGTACAAAATAAAATGTGATTATAGTAGGTGGGGGGGACTCATCGGGTACAATGACCTCCTCTAAATCATCATCCGGAAGTGGCACCACAACCCCCTCCCCCACACACGTACGACCTACACTTTGTGCCTACCAATTCTCTCATGTACACTGGGGTTTTTCTTTGTTTCTCTCTCTCTCTCACACACATATACACAAGTCTAAAAGGGAGAGAGAGAGAGAGAGAGAGAGAAACACTTACTTCACCTATCATGCACCTCTTTCATGACTGTCGTTATGATGTAGTGTACAACAGCACACACACAGACACACACAGACATACACACACAGACACACACACAGACGTCGGTGCTCCTATGTTCTGGACTGTGATGAAACGGCTATGACGGTACACGTGTTCCATAATGCATACGAAATAACACACACATAATATTTTTATAACATACCACAGCATGACCTGAGCGAGACACTGCCGGTATGAATAACCTATAATAACCATTTACGCCAGGTTGACGAAGAACGAGAGTTACCTGACTGGTTGGTGGCAGCATCGACTTATTTCACATAACTACACCACTATGTTGTGTTTACCTCCTGCAGGTGATACAGGTCACTCAGGTAAAGAGTGTTTATAGAACGTACAGTGACCTGACTAAAATGATTGCTCATATAAACTCAGAACTGCAACCAAAGCAGTGATGCTCCACTAGCTCCACAAGTCGTCTGCCAGCCTCACGTTAAGTGAGGAGACGTGAGTCACCAGTCACCTGTTGATGTAAGTGAGAAACTAACAGTACTCTCTCTCTCTCTCTCTCTCTCTCCTGTACAGTATATAACCATTTTTATAATTATTTTCCGTCAATATCATTGCAGTTTGACATTTGAATATGAATTTTTCCCTTTAGGCCCACCCGACACCAGACCCGAGATGTATATGAATTAGGGGAGTCTAAACTTAACTCCCATCGAGTGCCTTATGAGTACATCACCAATATACCCCCATAGGATCTACTGCACCGTGATAAATAGTGACAGACACCAAAATGTCCAGTCTCTGTTTACTTACTTCCGGTACCTAAGCCCGACCGACCCACTGGCTTACCGCCCGGCCCCATCGGGAAAATGCTCGAACGCCTGATAAGTAAGTCCATCACCCGTCAGTGTTGGTGTATGTGTGTGTTAAAATAATTATACTTTATACAGTATAAATATTTTTATTAGATGAATGTTATACAAATCCCAAGCTATGTAAATCCGTAACCTGCGATGTTAGCATTTTGCGGATGATACCGGTCCATATGGCACCATGTATTATTCATAACGTTATAGTGTGCACACACTGCACGAACGTGGGAAGCGCGAAACACTTGCTGTTGGTGAGGTGTCAATGATCCCTCCGCTTGTTCTGGCCTCATCCCTTACACAGTGACATTAAGGTAAAGCAGTTGTAGAACTCAATCAGTAAGTTCAGATTATCACTCATTTCTCTGCTCACTCGGGCTCAACACAAATGTTTGGCTTCTGAGTGCGGCCAAGGATTCTATAATGTAGGAGGGTGACGCCCTACAGTAGGCGAACTCGCTCACCCCAGAGCCGTAGAGTTCGGCCAACCGGGCGCTATGTTGTTGCTAAGCTGATAAAGACGTTTGCGCTCGTACTGTAGAGGATGGTGATGATGGTGATGTTTATTCAGTAAAATTATCATACATGCTTACAATTGGATAAGCATGTTTATAAACTAAGTAGGAGACAGCCCGAGAAGACTTCCCACCCGCAGAGTAACAGCATAGAGCCAGTTGGCCGAACTCTCTATCTACGGCTCTGGCTCACCCCCGACTATGGCGTCGACAAGCGGCTGCTAATTATAAACAATAGATGGCAGTTAAAGATTGAAGGAAGGGAGATGCACATTTCGGTGAGTACATTGATTTTCATTGTCTTCTACACATTATTTTACCATCTACAATGAGATAGAATTACTGGACAGCTGGCCAGTAATTGTTCTAACAACACCAAATGGAACATAAACTTGTCTTTCTTCAGATTTCCAAAGGATCCAGAGAGGTGAGTCGTAAAGCTGCTTCTGTTAATGTTAACTGTTCATTAGTTTTAATAAGCTCTTGCTTTATTTGCTGTATTTAGTTTTGATAACGATTCACCCTTTAGAATTGCTAATTAATATCAGAGTATTAATAGAATATATAAAATGAGCAGGACACTGCTGTATTGTCCAGAATATAAGACTGGAAAAAGTTTTGGGACAATATTCGTTTGAGGACCGACCACGTCTAGTTATTCCTGTATATTTGTGTGTTTTGAATGAATTTCACACTATTTTCTTGGGTGAATTTATTACCCAAGAAACACGTGTAAAATTAATGAAAACCCAACCCAACCCAACCCAACCTAACCTAACCCAACTTAACCTAGGAAGCTGATTTCACTCATTTTTTCTTATCTTAAATCACTGAAAATTGAAGAAAAATGCTATGTGACTAGTGACACACAGAAGTATCTCAAAGCGAAGGAAGCACTGTCTATAGGAACACAGGAAACTGTATGATCCCACGGCCTACACGTACACCGTATACATGAATTGTTTATTTTCATACTGAACTGTATACTCCTTTTTTTTTACGGAGAATAGCCCACCCGGGCACAGGTCATCGACCCACAAAGGGGCCTAGGGGGCGAAAAAATAAGATAAAAAATAAATTAAAAATAGAAAAGAAAAAGATTATTTTAATCTACACCACGAAGATGACGAAAAACCAGCCTTTTGAAGTGAAAAAGATTGTATGAGTATGGAAATACAGAATGCAGAGCATTCCACAGTTTGGCTGTGTGAGGAAAGAAGGATGTACTATAACGAGTTATTCTAGTGTGACTGACATCCACACAGAAACGGTGGGCACCGCGGGCAAGACGAGTGTAACGAGCCCACGGACTTGCCGACGGTACACAGGATGCCAAAAGCACCGAACATTTCCCGTTAAAGAGAAAGGGAAGATAGGACGAATGAATCCCTTATATATTTGATGCAACTGCTCAGGAGTGAAGTAGTTACGGCATCTGTACAACATTCCCAGTTTTCGGAAGGCAGCTTTAGCAATGTTGTGGATAATTGCATAAGTAATATACATATCAATCCAATTGTAAACCTGTATTACAATTTCACTGAATAAATATTATCATTATTACTATTATTCAAGCTTCGAATAATGTAGCCTGACCTTCAAACATTCGTCATTGTAGCCAAATCTGAAAACCTCCAGTCTCAGATTCTAACATATCTCGGCCATTTTGCATCGTACGTTCCCACCTATACATATACAAAAATACATACAACATACCTATCATCATATAGTATTCACAGCGTTATTGTGTTTGTGTACGTGTGGAGAGTGAGAAGTTTGCCCCTGGTGGGAAGGTGTCAATGAACTAACCCCATCCCTCACATAGTGCGTTGTCAAATACACTAGACCACCTGTACAACACGCAGAAAACATATTAAGTAGCGACCTGGGGCACCCTTTTATAAGCCTTTACTTGAGAGTAAGCTGCAGAGTTGTGTTCGGCACGGAACACAGTAAGTTGTGGGAGAGCTCAGGTCCCAGCAAGACCAACCTGGCCCTACTCTTTGTCAACACAATTCTCGACAGATAGCTAGAGCAGAGACAATAGCTCCTGTCCTCTGCTTTCTCCGTGGCTGAGTCCACAGTAACCAACAGGAGACGAGACACCTTCATCGCTCAAATCCTCATCACTGACGGAGATCAGAAACACAAGACCTGGGCCAGGCAACACAGCACCACCACCATGAGGACCTTCCTTGCTGCTGCTATTGTTTTCTGCATACTTCTGCTGGTGCAGGTATAAACCATCTTCTTTGCAATTACATCTAAATTAAGAATCTCTCTCTAAATGAATTAAAGAGTCATTTATCATGACAGATAGCATTCAATAACTTTATCCACAAGTATAAAAAATTACCACATGCGAAGATAATGCGATTTTTTTCCATTTATCAGAGTCATTATGAACTGCGTTTATTGTTGAAGACGTCATTTACTGTATACACTCACACCTCGGTTAGCGCTACCCTCCCCTTAGTGTGTGTGTGTGTGTGTGTGTGTGTGTGTAATAATAATTATAATAATAATAATTAACGGTTTATTGAAAAAATTCTGCAGCCCGAAGGCTGAAAATATACATTGGACATAAATGACTTATTACATACATTGGTGGTTTAACAAAAGCCTTCATTAGAGAAAGGTAAAGGAACATACAGTGAACATACAGATTAATGTAGGGTTGAACAGCAAACTCGTAGTGTAGTAACTCCCTCCCAGATGGTGTTAGGAGGAACTCACGTGGTGTCGTAGTTCCCTCAGATGGTGTTATGAGGGACCTGGCGTGGTGTAGTAATTACCACACAGATGGTGTTATGAGGGACCTCACGTGGTGTAGTAATTACCTCACAGATGGTGTTATGAGGGGCCTCACGTGGTGTAGTAACTCCCTCACAGATGGTGTTATGAGGGGCATCACGTGGTGTAGTAATTCCCTCACAGATGGTGTTATGAGGGGCCTGACGTGGTGTAGTAATTCCCTCACAGATGGTGTTATGAGGGACCTCACGTGGTGTAGTAATTCCCTCACAGATGGTGTGATGAGGGACTTGACGTGGTGTAGTAATTCCCTCACATATGGTGTTATGAGGGACATGTGGTGTAGTAATTCCCTCACAGATGGTGTTATATGAGTAAGGTTTGGTGTTAGGCCTTCCTATCGTAGACGGATTAACACATCGCTGGTTGTTGTTGGGTCTCACGGGCCGTTATCACTGGGTACCTGGGACCTCACTGTGTGAAGGTTAACTTGGGTATGACTGTTACTGTTGAGTTGTTCTCACTGACTTAAGCACTGTTCACCACTGTTCACCTCTGTTTAACACTGGTTCCGTTCCTTTCCTAAATTAAATTGTAACTTCTGGCGAGAACTTGTTGATATTCCGGTGGGGAGGAGGGTTCAGGGGAGGGGGTTGGTATGGGCCAACTTAACAGTTGACCTGGCTGCTCCGAGAGGAGCGCCAGGTACGTCTTGACCCTTCGGTGGTCAAGGATGTAGTGTGTGTCTATGCATGTGTGCGTGTTAAACTAAATTATAAATAATTGTTAAACAGCGGGAATTTCTAACTAAAGTTATTTTTTTTTTGACATTAACAATCGTCTGTATATAGAAGCGATCTAAGATAATAATACGAACTACAAACAGACAGCATCATTACTAACTTAACTAACCTCGCGTAGCTTAATGTAGTTATAGCATGGCAAAGGTTTGATTGTAAACGACGTTCTATATAAAAACAAATCCATATACGAACTTGTGTCCCTAAATGTCACTGTAGGAATAATTTCGATAGTGTTTATTTCAAATAATCAAATTCGTCTGCATTAAAGCACGTTCGTGTAAAATAAAAAAAAATAAAAAGTACAATTGAATAGCATCATTGATAGCCTAATATAACCACCTTTAGGTAATACGTCTTAAATACAAAATAGCAAATATAACATAGGAACTAAATTTCCAGTAAGTTAAATAAAAAATAATTCCAGTTCAGTAAAAACGTCGTCATGTGCACCATTAGGTTTACTCAGACGACTATCCCCATTGTGCCATTCATATATATATATATATATATATATATATATATATATATATATATATATATATATATATATATATATATATATATATATATATATATATATATATATATATATATATATATATATATATATACATATATATATATGTATATATATACACATAAATAATGCTGTATTGTGTTCCTCAGGAGACTGTGCTGGGTGAACGGATCAATCGCCATGAGATATCAAATGAAAATCATCGAGTCACCAAGATAGGCAAAGACGATAACCCTGATAACGACGATGCTAGAGCTGGTGAGGTCGGAGAATCGCGCCAAAATAGGGAAGGTGTTCGGTCCATTAGCGGAGAAGGGAAACGTCACCGACTCAAGAAGATCGAAAAAGGGAAAAATAACAAGAATAAAGCAACAGGTCGCGGTGTGAAGAGTGAAAGTAAGAGAGAAAATAAACTGAATGAAAAACAAAGTAGAAAACTCGGTAAGAAACAAGAGAATAAGTCAGGACGAAGAAAAAATAAAGAAATCAAGAAGAAAAACAAAAAAGGCAAGGGGGAGAAAGAAGAGGGAGGCGTAAAAGTCAAGAAGACAAAAACCCAAAGAAAAATACCTAAGAAACCATCAAAGAAAGGCGAAAAGAAACAAAGAAAAGAGAGCAAGAAGTATGGTGATGCGGAGAAAAAAAGCAACGAAGGGAAAAATAAGAGCAACACTTCACGCAAAACTTTAAAAGAATCAAGAGACAAAAAGAAAAAGATTACAAAAAAAATCAAGAAAAGTCAAAGCAATTACAAGAAGCAAAAGAACAGCAAAAATCCCAAAGAACAACAGGCAAAGATAAGTCTGAAATCTGATAAACGAAAGTCCGAACACAAAACACCCAAAAAGTCTGCAGACAAAAAAGACTCTTCCGTAATTGAGAAGAGAAAATGCGTCAAAAGGAAGCCATGCACGAAAGTTGGTGGAAACTGCAAAAAAAATGGCTCTTGCAAGACCAAAGTAATTGAAGGCAAATGCAAGGGAGGTTCATGCAGTTGTTGTTTATCAAGTAAGTGTTCCCTTTCTGGTGTTGAGCGAATGTTACAATTGTGTGCACAGTATGTGTGTTATTCTTTAAAGTGCATAAGAATGAGAGTTATTTTCAAGAGTAAATTGACTTCCAGTAGAATTCCTGTCATTTATAATCTCTTGTATCCTCTAGCGCTCGACTGGAAGGTTGCCGACCCCTAGAACAGATTGTCATTCATTCACTGTCAGTGTTGTAACATCATTCACTAAACTGTTCTTTCCGTCATAACATATTTCTACGCCTTTCATCCCTGTACTCTTATCTCTAATTCAACTAGAGTAAAATATTTTTAGTGTCACGTAAATCTGATAAAAATATTAAACAACCTACACAAACTTATAATAAAGTATAATTTAACGTAACCGTATTAAGCTTAATATTATTGTATCTACATTAAGACATTCCTCGTAAATAATCCCTTAAGATAATCCAATATCACTCAAGATGAAAAATAAGACACCTTTGGAGTTTTCAATTAAAAGGGAGATGAGAAAGTTTCTGTGTACTCAGGAAAGCTACTCAGTTGGAAAGGAGTAGAATCATTGTGTTCAGTTAAATGAACGAGATGATATTAACGAAAATTTGTTTGAATATTTATTCTTATACTGTATATACATTACAGTATATAAATCACAAAACCAATTAAAAAACGATTGCACTGCAACTTTTTAGTCACTGTATTAATATTTCTACATTATATTGGGTAAGGTTGTGTTACTTATTAGGATAACAAAACTGATGACACTCGCAGCTGAAGAAGAAACAACAAATGATCAGAAAAACCCGACAACCAATTGTCATGTTAAGAGTGAAAATTTGACGAACATTTGTAGGTTTACACTGGACCTCCGCACTTTTGAGAATTTAATGGCAAAGGTGGAAATTTCCACATGTTTAGGCTATCGAATAATATATATATATATATATATATATATATATATATATATATATATATATATATATATATATATATATATATATATATATATATATATATAACCTCAATTACTTTTTCCTTTCCACAGAATGTGCAGCAAATCCTAAACATAAATGCAAAATATACAAGGGCGTGTGTAAAAAGAAGTGTGGTGCTAAGGAGAGAAAGATCTCCAACGGCTGCAAGAAGAAGAAATGTGTGTGTTGTGCCCTGCCCTGCAAGCCCAAAAATAAGTGTAAAGAGCACCATGGCTACTGCATCGACAGTAAAGACCATTGTCCAGGATGGACCGATGAGAAGGAATGCAAGGGGAAAAAATGTGTGTGTTGTTACCCTGGTAAGTTACCCACATCTCTATCTCCCTCTCATTATATGTTGTTTAAAGTTCATTCCTGAAAACAGTAAATATGTAACACTAATCTTGTATTATCATCTACAATTTCAGAAAAAATGAGTCGTACAACAACCACGACTACACCAACAACTACTACTACTATTACTGCAGCTGATTCTACTACAACAACAACTGCCACCACTACAACAACAACTGCCACTACTACTACAACAACTGCCACTACTACTACTACAACAACTGCCACTACTACTACAACAACTGCCACTACTACTACAACAACTGCCACTACTACTACTACAACAACTGCCACTACTACTACAACAACAACTGCCACTACTACAACAACAACTGCCACTACTACGCAACAACTACTACTACAACAACTGCCACTACTACTACAACAACTGCCACTACTACTGCAACAACTGCCACTACTACTACTACAACAACTGCCACTACTACTACAACAACTGCCACTACTACTACAACAACTGCCACTACTACTACAACAACAACTGCCACTACTACTACTACAACAACTGCCACTACTACTACAACAACTGCCACTACTACTACAACAACTGCCACTACTACTACTACAACAACTGCCACTACTACTACAACAACAACTGCCACTACTACAACAACAACTGCCACTACTACAACAACTGCCACTACTACAACAACAACTGCCATTACTACTACTACTACTACAACAACTGCTACTACTACTACAACAACTACTACTACTACTACTACAACAACTGCCACTACTACAACAACAACTGCCACTACTACTACAACAACTGCCACTACTACTACAACAACTGCCACTACTACTACACAACTGCCACTACTACTACAACAACTGCCACTACTACAACTACAACAACCACTACTACTACAACAACACTACTACCACTACCTACTACTACTACAACAACTGCCACTACTACTACAACAACTGCCACTACTACTACTACAACAACTGCCACTACTACTACAACAACTGCCACTACTACTACAACAACTGCCACTACTACTACTACAACAACTGCCACTACTACTACAACAACAACTGCCACTACTACAACAACAACTGCCACTACTACAACAACAACTGCCACTACTACAACAACAACTGCCACAACTACAACAACAACTGCCACTACTACTACAACAACTGCCACTACTACTACTACAACAACTGCCACTACTACTACAACAACTGCCACTACTACTACAACAACGTAATTACCTTCGCCACCATTTATTTACCTTAATATTAAATATCCTAATACATAAGAAACTATCCTCCCCTAATAGCCACAACTTCACCACCATTTTATTACATTAAAATGAAATATCCTAATACATAAGTAGCTACCCTGGCTGTGTTGAGTTAGTTGAGCTGCAGATCTATGCGGCATTTAGTGACTGTTGCCTCATAGTCAATATCTGCAACTGTTGTCGGCTTTGGGGCCGATGCTCTCGTTCCCCTGAGGCAGAGCAAAGCCGACCTAAGGAGAGAGAAGGACAGTCGACATCTCATCCAGGCTGTAACATAACTTCTGGGCTGCTGCTTCTGTTTGGATAGCACCTGTGCGAGTCTGGGATAGAAGCATCTTGCACTTGGTCCCATCCCACCACAGGTTGTGAACACCATAGGAGTGAAGCTGCCTTGATCAACGTTCTGAATTCTCTCCCCGTATGCCCTTATCTTGTCGTTCTCGTTCCTCCTGTGTGCAGCATCGAGAGCTAAGTTACGGTGACATGCGGCCATGGGATAAAAAATCCTCATGTCGAAGAAAGCTGTCCCCGCGTCCAGAATCCTCGAGCACTGACGTCCACACGTGCTTCGTTGGATGTGTTTGAAGTCCTATGTTGGAAATTCTCACCCTCCAATGGAAGGAGGGTCGGTTCTACCCTGACATCGCGGCAGATTTCCTTCAACATGTTTGCTGTGAGATCCCTTACTTTATCATGCCTCATGCATATGAAGCCCCCTTTCTTGCACACCATGGCGTGATCGACGTCATAGGAAGAACCACACACGCATTGGGAGGGCAAACCTTCTACTGGTCTACCGTACGTTAGAGCATTGGCATCAGTATATTCTTGTTTTTTGAGACTGAAACCATTTGCCCTTATCGGTAACGTAGTTAACCAGTTCGAGGCGCCCACCTCCTGCGCTATAGCTACAACTACAACAGAACCGGCAGGAGAGGGTGGCAACTACTTCACTCCTGAGCAGTTGCTTCAAGTATAACCGGGATTCATTCGTCCTAACTTGGAGTACTGCTCTCATATCTGGGGTGGCTCTTTTTCTGCTCAACTGTTAGATAGGGTGGAATCAACGGCATTTTGTCTTATTAACTCTCCTCCTTTAGCTGATAATCTTTCTTCCCTTTCTCTTCGCAGCAATGTTGCTTCACTCTCTTTCTTTTCACAGGTACTTTAACGGGCAATGTTGGGTGGATTTGGCATCCTGTGTACCGCCGGCAAGGCCGTGGGCTCGTAATACTCGTCTTGCCCGCGTTGCCCACCGTTTCTCTATGGATGTCGGTCACACTAGAATAACCCATTATAGTACATAAGTACATCCTTCTTTCCTCACACAGCCAAACTGTGGAATGCTCTGCCTTCTTCTGTGTTTCCATACTCATACAATGATTCACTTTAAAAAGTTGGTTTTCCGGCATCTTCTTGGTGTAGATTAATATAACCTTTTTCTTTTCTATTTTTAATTTCTTTTTACTCCGCCCGGGTGAGCTATTCCCAGTAAAAAACAAAAATAGTTTAAAATACGAAATATTACCGGTCTCCTGTTCAGTGTAATGCTAAGTATTGCGTAGTGCTTTTCTATTTTTCAGTGTTAATATAACATATATTATTCTATCTTTTCCTTTTCTTGCACATAATTGTTATATTCAAAATTCCGGCTCTGTGGTGGCCTTCTGGGTGACGCACGATGCAGCAATAAAAATCTGTACTGAAAGCAAATACATAATACAGTACAGGATTGTTTGTTTTCATTTCCTTGTGACGCCTTTATTTCCATACGATGGTCTGTGTGTGTGTGTGTGTGTGTGTGTGTGTACTTGTATGCTTAAGAACAAAGTAAGGTTATGTACACTCTCAGATTGCAGATTAATAGCAAAATTGTAATATATATTTAAGTACAAACGTGAGACTTATCTTCGTATAGGGACAAACACGTAGATAATCGTAATGGAAAGCATAAATGAACAGTATCATGACGGACATAACTAAACCAACCTGTAAAGTACAAGGTCAGTAACTTTTGTAGAGGTGAACAAATATTTAGAAATTAACCAGGGGATTGTGGGCTTTCGGGGATGTATTGCCCTCACTTTTAGACAAACATATTAACATGGCGTGTAATAAGGCTGAAGTAATATCATAAAATTGAGGTTACCAGAAAGTATATACCTTTTGTGGTATATACATGGTAAGAATACAAGAGAATACGGAAAATGTTGAAAAATGATTCCGGTTGGCTGTTTGAACATAGACTCTGGCTTCAAAGAAAGTATAACAGCTGAGAGTAGCACAGCTCAGGCGTCACTTAACAGCCTTTTACGTAACAGACTGTATGGGAAGGGAATCTATCGAGTGTTATTACCTCGAAATGTACCGGAGCTGCATCACATTGAGGCACATTTTGAGTTTATTTATGACAAAGGAAAAGGGATAGAAAATTAATTTTCAACAAAAATGGTGAGGATAACGTTTTGGGTTGAATATCTTATACGGTTTATGGAGTACATGTCAATCATAAAAGACGTCCGTTGAGAAGCTTGAGTTCTGTTGGATATGTTCTGATTGTTGTGCTTAATGGTGGAGGACTGCATCATTTTTACTGGAAGTAATACGGGCAGTGTCTGTGCTGCACCTGGTAAAATACTGCCATGAGACACAATAGTCCAGAACACATTTTTTTACACTTAGTGACCAATGAAATATACTCTATGAGGTATAACCAGATATGCAGAAATTCAAAATCATAATAGACAGTTCGACAGCAAGCACTGGTGACATTACCAACTGAATTACAGTTTTTTCTGCACCAAGAAGGAATATTTTAAATTTCATCTGCGCCAGTCATGTATAATCTGACCCTTAAACATTGCCAACCAATGTGCCATCAAACAGGCAGGTCGGCTGTGACTGGAGGGTTGGCCAGCTGTCCTATCATCCAGTTGGAAATATGCACATATGTTCCGTCGGCGTTCTTGAAGTGGGTATGAAACCTTGTCGTAAAAACTACTCCAGCGCAAACTCTCAGCACCGTCTGGCGTTTACCTGCAGGGACTGGCTTATGAAAGCTACTTCAAACAAACATTTGTGGGTCTTCTACTCACAGTGGCGATCTTTGGCTTGACCAACAATAGCATTACACTGGGTTGAGTTTCTGGACGACCCCTCGTTTGCCCTGGGCCAAACCTACGCACTCCTGGTCGTCCGGTCGAGCGGCGAGTTACTTACCGGTCTCCTGGAAGGCCACCCGCTGGGGCCGGATACCCAAAGATTCGTACGTTGAATTCCCCCCACACCCCCTCCCTTAACTAGGCCACGAGAGAACCCATCCAGTTAAGGTTCAGTTTTGACGTAACTTCGTTGATATTTTGTCCTTAGTTTTCCTAAGTTACCCAGTAAATACCAGGTGCCACTAAGAGACCTCAGGCTCTGAACTGGCTCAGTCATGTCAAAATTGTTAATATTATCCACTCTGTATCAGTTTTATTCTGCCTAAATTAACTGTTTCAATTTCAATAGTTTCAATAGTTACATGCGTTCTTACTTTACCAGTTAGAAGGTAACTTTATCTACCTGGAATTGCTGGGATAATCAGGGGCCTTGTCTGTATGTCCAGTGTGGCCATGGAGGAGGCCAGGCGAGGTAAAGACTGGGCAAGGGGGAGAGGGGCTAAACAGATGGGAGAGTCTGGACAAGGGAGAGGGGCTGGGCAGGGAGACGGGCGCTGGACAATGAAGGGTGTGGACAAGGGAGAGGGGCTGGTCATGGAAGAAGTAGCAGGGGAAGGGAGGGGAGGGACTAGGGCAGGGAAAGGCGGGTCCCGGGGGGTGGCCACCTACAGCAGGAGGAGGAAGCCACCCGCCTA